TGTGTTTATATATATAATTTTATATATATAAAAATAATCCCCCCAAAAAGAACATACCAATGGTATGTTTACCTTGTGCCTGCACACCTTCCCCTTTCCCCGCCTTATGGGCGTAGTACTTTGTGTCCTGGTACCTGGTAACATCAACATTTAAACTAGCAGGTTATAACATTGCAATCAGTTCTCAAAATGAAAACATTCAGATCGAAAGAATCAATATTTTAGTATCGATGAGCACATCCCAAGTGTGCACTGGAAATGGGGAAAAGAACGCAACACCATGTTAAATGTAAAATACAGTGCGTTTTGTATGTAAATCTTTTCTCCTTTATTGCTTTATGTCCTGACAGGGATATTATTACATTTTCGCCATCTGAGTGTAAATGCAGGGCCATCTCTGGGGGGCTGTGGGCTGATAGCTGTTAGCTAGCCAGCTAACTCAGCAACAGAGCCTTAAACAATTGCAGTAGAAACACGTCATTATCTATAATATAATGGCCAAATGTATTTTTTGTTTAATTTTTTACATTTAATTAGGAAAATAATAATAATAGCATAATTAGACAGCAGAAACACTGTCAAGTCAAGTATTTAGAATATCATTACCAGGGTTGCTGACTTTGGTTAGCCATGGCAGGAGTGAGGTTTTCAAGGAAAGTCTGCATACACATAAACACTAGGATGGGGTGAAAAAATCAAAATTTCCAATAGCAATTTCCAATAGTGCAGAAAAGTTGTCACTGGACCTCGTTATTAAATGTGCAAAATATCTTTGAAATAGGTTAATATTTTCAGGTTCCAACACGCGATCGAAGTTTCGAAATTTCCCGAAAAAAGTTGATTTTCTCCGCATGACTCCCATGTTCGAAAGAATTTATTTTTTTCAGGAGTTAATTATTCCAATAGGGCGAAAAGGGTACTACTTAAGCAGTATAGTAAGCCTACAAAATTTTATTCATATTGGTTAATATTTAAAGGTTCTACATCGCGGCTAAAGTTTGCACATTTCTAATGAAATTCTCTGTACGCTGCAACCTGTATGGTCTTTGTGTATAATTCAACTTTATCTCAAACTTGTATTATTAACACATGAACATTGAACAATGAACATGATGATCAGTGAACACTGAACAACAGTAAGCAACAACAGTAAGCAACTAAACATTGCGAGTACTTACAATCACAGTTCAGTCTACATTGTACAGTCTACACCTTGTAGTCAGCTTTTGTTTCAAAAATGGGCATATTCTTTCGAGACTTCAGTTTTCCTCTGATGAAACCATCTCTGTTGTTGAAGCCACACACTTTTTCAGACGCTTCGGTCACTACCTGCACACATCGTTCCACCACCTGGGTGTGACACGGAAGTTGCAAGAAACGGCTGAACACTGAATAAGGTTTCTGGGTGCGCGCAGAAAGCGTTTTGAGCGTTGACAGGATCAATGACGTCTCGCAGTTCCTTTGGCAAGTATCTGCTGCTCTGGATGACTTTCCACAGGTTCTTTGCACCGTCCATGATGGAATGATGAATTTTAATGTTAAACCAACATGGAACGTACGACTTCAGAATGAACTTGACCAGCTGCTGCAGTTGCAGCGACGGATCCTTGGTGACCACATACAAACGAAGAATGTGATTTGCGGTCGTCAGCCACAGTGCGTGAGAGAGGTTTCCAGGAAAGCGCCTTGCGAGATCTTTGCTGCAGAACCTGGAGTTCAAAGCCTGGCTAATTTCCAGCAGGTACTTTTGGTCACTGCTGAGATCTTCGACAGGAACATCAGGTAGTTCGCAGTTGATCTTCCGGAACTGAGTGACGGGTAGTTCTTTGCATCCTGCTAATTTCTTCCCAATTGGACCTGCATATGAACATGGACCAGTGGTAGACCCGTCCAAATGCTGGAACAAGTGCCTCAGTGGTAATTCGTTTAGGTGATGGAGGCATATCACCCACTGAAGAGGTGTTCCAAGCTTCACTTCCAGATGCCGAGTGATTCCTCCCTCCAATGCCGTATAAATGACTGTGCCATTGCAACCAACCGGTACTAGGTCCTCCAGATCTTCAACAATGTCAGACAAGTAGGCCAGGATACCTTTCAAGATGTTTTCGGCTGATCCGGATGCAGGGGTTATGTGACCAATGTAGCTTGATCCGGGCTCCTTCACCAAGGAAATGTGTTCCTCTACTGCTGTTCTCCGGTAACTTTTGTCTCCTTCCTTGATTATTTCAAGTATACTGTCCTTTCTCCCGTCAAAGTACAGGGTCTTTAGCTTGCCAGTTGTATGTTCCATTTGCAAAGATTTCCTGAGCTTGATTCTCTCTCTTCATATTTTGCTCTTGTCAATCACAAGTGATTTGTCTTCCTCTGATACTAGACACATGTCCTAAAGCACACTTGTTGCTATTGAGGCAGTAGCTCGATCCGAAACCCCAAAGTGGCTACTAGCCAGTGCCGTTGCAGTCAGGCTGACTCGCATTTGGGATGTGGATGTGGAAGGTGACATGTCGGAATCGGGAAGCTGCTGTTGCTGATCTTCTGACTCTTCAATATCTATAGCTTCATTTTGGTCATCCGGACTCCATCCTTCTTCCGCTGCCGGCGATCACGAGTCATCAGGAGGCTTCATACTTACTGCAGATCTCTTCTTTTTTCTCTCTTCTGGAGCTTCAGAGTTTCTTTCCAATCCACAGATCCAATTCTACCAATCCTCGCAGTTCTCTGATCTTTTAGAAATTCTTGTTCCACCTTGGAGACTTTCCTTGCCTTGTCACAAGTGCAGGTTTTCAAGTCAGCTTCCGTCTTGAACTTTGCCGGCTTAGTGGCAAATGTCTCTTTCTCCTTATCTAGCTTGAAGGACTTCTTCATGGGCTGGTGTTTGCTGTGGTACGAATGAATCATTTGTAGAACGTGTTCGTGGCTGACAGTTGGAATTGACGACTTCTTGTACAGGCGACTTTCAAGGCAACATTTTCGGCATTCAAGGAAAAACTAGGGTCCTTCCTACTCCCACCGGCCGAGTACATATCGAACTTCTCCTTCATACAACACCGGATGACATCTTCATACGTGGGAAGCTGTGACTGATTTAGCTCCTTGGGAAAACCGAAAATGGGACATTGTAGATCCTGTCTTGGGGTGGCTTTTCGTGCTTTCGAAGCCATGACTTGTGTCCGGTAGTACTGCTCTCAGAGATTGTTATAAACAGACGAGCGACCTCTTGAAACAAGGCAACACAAGAGAGAATGACTCATTCCGCACAAACACGCTGCAATATAACCGGCGGGAAGAAGTTTATAATTCAACGATTTAAAATTCTAATAGGTTTCAAGACGCCAATTATAATGCTTATTGTGCTTAAGTAGTGGGAGTCATGCGGGGAAAATCAATTTTTTCGGGAAATTACGAAACTTTGATCGCGTTGCGGAACCTGAAAATATTAACCTATTTCAAAGATATTTTGCACGTTTAATAATGAGGTCCAGTGACAACTTTTCCGCACTATTGGAAATTGCTATTGTAAATTTTGATTTTTTCACCCCACCCTAATAAACACGCATTTACACAAATGTAACACTTTTATTAGATTGTAAATAGTCTATAGGGTTTGCAAACAACCCCAACACTTTTGATGTAGCTAATTTTAGATTTATAATTGAATAATATACATTTGCTGAGACAGCTGCCCCCGCAACCTCGGATTAAGCGGGAGATGATGGATGGATGGATAATATACATTTGCTTTTAGGTTTCTTGTGTGTGTCAGAAGGCGGGATCAAGTGTCACGGCAGATGCAGGAGAGTCCGCAACCCTGCGTTATTTAGAAAGCTGTTTACCGAATAAAAAACATTTTCTTGAATTATTTTCATCATTTCATTGGTTTCAATTGTATATAAGCAGGTCGAAATTTTAAAAGCGCATTTTTTTGTATGAATTCCAGCGGTGATTTGGGCTTTACTGAGTATTTATTAAAATATGAATGAGGGGACAAAGTAATTAAATAAAATGATGCTAGCAGCTGTCCACTTAATACAGCCTGATATAATCTACAGTAATCAGAATTCGTTCCGATACCAGCTTATTACAGAATGTTAGTAAGTAAACCACAGGCAGAACACGAAAGCAGTCTTTTCATATCGGGAAAAATGATGCTTGTCAACACATTTCTCTTCTCATACACAGAAATTGGGGTTTTACATTTATGCCGTATTTGAGTATTTCCTGCTAAAAGTGAATACCATATTTAAAAAAGGTCATTCTTTTGCTGTAAAGTACAATTGTCTTTAAATGGATTTGTATTTGTTGACAAAACTCTCTCAACGTGACTTTTGTGTGTAATTCCTCTCTGGCAGAAATTTTAGGTTCAACTCTCAGTAAAGTATTTCTTAGCTAACCTGGAGTGTTGCTTTAGTAATCTTTCATGTATAAACAATATAAATAGCTTTTAAAACAATTCCATAATGAATATTCATTCATCTATCCATCTTTCAGCTAATTCTCCTGGTCAGGCTTTCAGAGCCCAAGGGCAGCACAGACCAGAAAGGCAGGCAGCAGGCATAGACCTGGGGGGATTGCAGTCCATAAATTCTACTACAGTATTCAAATCATTTAACTTCATGTTTTGCTTAAAAATGGAGCCAGGGATTGCTTTGGTAAGACTGGGAAATGTCTGAGAATTTGAAGTTCCTTAATTCACAAAAATCTCTGGGGAGACATTGAAAATTATAGTACCACAACCTGCGATTTATTTAAAGAACAGCTGTGAATACAAGATGTTCAGAGAGCTTCACTTCCGAACATCTGAGGCGAAACGCAGTAAACAGAACGGCTTTGTGTGCTCCCCTGACACGGGCTCTGCCCTGCCACCCCTGGCTTTCAGATTCTCCTCAGGCCTTTGAAGTCGTGCTAGTTAATGATCACCACTTACTGAGGTTTTGCTAGTTAAATGTGAAGTACTGACTGTGAGAAGGTGCTCAATCATTTCACAAAGCAGAGACGGTTAATTACAAAAGAAAACATTTATTTGGAAAATGGAGGCATTTTCCCCACTCAAGTTTGAGAAATACTACGTCACACTTTTCCTGAAGAGCAAATGGAACCAAATCCATTTCCATCTTTTCCCACATTTACAGGCAAATCAGAGACGGCCACCAGCTGCCCGTTACACAGTTTGATTGGAAAACCAGGTGCGATAATGACACGGGAAAGCAGCAAAGCAGTGTTAAGGGATCAGGAATACACCACTGGCAACTATAGAAGACAACCAGCCATGGGAACAAATGCTGGAAACATCCATCCACACAATGGTCCAGCTTCTCATTGGGCTGGCATTAGCAGGTAACGTGGTCCAACATGAATGCACAAGGACGGGACACAAGTCTATTGAGTGGCAGATGAAAATGACCTTAAACCGGGGTTCCCCAGTCCCAGTCCTGGAGACTCAGTCTGCAGCACAGTTTGCAGATTTCCCTGCTCACGCACCTTCTTCAGCTACACAGCAAATTGCCAGGCTTAGTAGATGTGTTTGAGCAGGGAAATCTACAAACTGTGTTGCAGAATGACCCCCAGGGTCGGAATTGTGGATTCCTGTCTGAAACTGATCACATCTGAAAATAAAAACCTAGATTTGTGTCAGATTGGATCAGTACATAATATTGCATAGAGCATTGCTGAATAAGATCCACCCATGAGCTGCTGGATCTACTCGTCTCACAATGACATTCTACAGCCAAGATGACGTCAATGCTGTCCAAGCCTGTGTACAGGATGCATTCAGCTGTAACCTGATTAGTGCAAAGGTACATTGTTGTTCTGCTTTGTTGTGTTGCAGCCCCAATTTGAAAGAGCCAGGCCAAACTGGCATTGTGTTACTTGTTACCCCTAAATGATTTTGTGGGCTCATTTTTGGTCGTTCACTGTCAACACCTAGGAATCACACAACAAGTAATAAGAGCAATGGCTCTAATATCAGTAACCATAATATCATCAACAACAACGACAAGAACATGATAAAAGACATTAAATCAATCACTTACAACAATGGTTGGTCAGACTTTTACATCATAAATAGCTTTCAGCAAGTGTTTCCCTCAAGAACGTGTTCAAAGAAATTAGGCCCCCGTACACAGCACCTGGCTGCGGATTGGCTGAGCCAGAGTGACAGCTAGCCTATCACAAAAGGCATTCCTTAGATGGAAAAGTCCCCTCACACTTTAGCTGACTTTGGTGGGCATTGTCTTGACATTCCCCCAAAGGCAGTGGCAAGGGAAACAGGGGTGTCGCCTAACACTGGGCAGCCTGTTACATCTCTATGGCCTATGGGGGGGGGGGAAGGAAGGCAGGAGAGAGAAGCTAGAGATGAGGCTTATTTACAGGACACCCATCTCCTGCACTAGAACTTCTTCACATTTAAAATCACTAGGAGGAGAAAGGCTTTTTGGGAGCGCTTGAGCTACGGCTTTCTGTCTTGGCTCCATGCGGCTACCCCTCCCCTCATCCCTGCAAGATATTAAACGCCAGTAAGAATCGGATCATGGGATTAAGGGGGGAGGGGCCGCAGCATTTGACACAATGGCCCCTTCAAGACATGTGACTCTGCTGTGGGGCCCAGTCATTTATTATTTTCCTCACACCTGCTCGCCGCCTCATTTTGCGTTCCTTTTTTCTCCAGGCAAGGCAATAAATATTACATGAGATGTCAGTGGAGCACCAGGGGCCACAGCCCGCTCTCAGTGCCATCAGGACACCTGCGTGAGCTCAGGGCAGCGTGCCGTGTGTCTGCAGAACCCTGGTCTGATTGGCGCCGCGGAGAACTCCCTGCCGGCTTTCAGCTCCGCCTCCGCACCACCAGGGCTATGGCGCTCATCTCCATTCTGTGTGGGGAGTCCTGAGGAGTACGCCCCTGACTGCAGATGTAGGGGGAGGGTGATATCCACCGGGGGGCTGTGTGGGACATGGTCTGATGGAGGAAGGACGGCACTGGCAACAACAGTCGTTTTGGCACCTTCGTGGCCGTTGCAGGAATCGAGGTTGTTGCCAAAGCTGCCACGGTCAGAATAGCCATCCAGGGTAAAGCCGTTGGTCTTGGCAGGGCAGGACTCAGGCGGGGCGGCAAGGGTGGTGGCGCGGGTGCTGCCGGGCCGGGTGGCGCTGCAGGAGCCGCTCTCAAAATGATCCCGGCGCCCCAGGACATGGCGGCGGATGATCCTGCGGAACGTGTGGCGGAATTCTCGGATGCGGTAGGCGTAGATGAAGGGGTTGACCACCGAGTTGGCGTGAGAGAGGATGATGGCCAGGTACATGATGCTGGCATGTGGCCGGGCGCACTCTGGGCAGAAGAGGGTGAAGCAGTTGATAACGTGCAACGGCAGCCAGCAGATGGCGAAGAGTCCCACAATGATGGCGAGAGACTTGGCGGCGTGGACCTCCTTCTGGAGGGTAGAGCGTGACCGCTCCCCATGCACCACCTTCAACTCCATCCGCTTCAGCTGCCGCCGCGCAGCCATGAAGATGCGCAGGTAGATGCCCAGCATGAGCAGCAGGGGCATCAGCACACAGCCAAAGAAGTTGAAGTAGACCATGTAGTCCATGGTGACTACCTTCTCAAAAAGGCACTCGATGGTGCCACTAGGGCACTTAGGTCCACTGGTGCTGTTGGTGAGCTTGGTGTCGTTCTGTGGGCGGTTCTTGGTGTGCCAGCCTAGCATGGGTGTGAGGCCGATGACCACCGAAAGCACCCAGCAGATGGCGATGATACCCTTGGCGCGCTGACTTGTCACCAGGCTGTTATACCTTGGGAAAAAAGAACAAAGGGATTTTCATGAGCTTTCCAAATCATAACAAAGACGCATGAGACACTCCCGGGCTGGGGGTTTAAATCACAAACCCCTGCTCAGTGTGTGTGGAGTGTGCATGTTCTCCCTGTGGATGTGCGGTTATCTTTCTGCAGGTCCAAAACAGGAATTCTGGGTTCTCTGAACTGTCCATAGTGTGTGATTCTCTTTGTGTGTACTGTACCCTGTGATGGACTGGTATCTTTTTGTGTGTACCCTGTGACGGACTGGTATCTCCTTGTGTGTATCCTGTGATGGACTGGTATCTCTTTGTGTGTACCCTGTGATGGATGGACGGATGGATGGACGGATGGATGGGTGGATGGGGATTTATGCATACAACCTTCACTGAATGACACTAAGCTGCAGAGTAAGTCATCCATGACATTTTTAAAGCATTTTAACTGCTATTCACATGCTTGAATGTTGCTGTATCAGCTTTCTGGGAAAATGAGGGCCTGAACCATAATGGATAATGGAGAGAGCAGGAAGTATCTGGCTGTTTTAGTCTGCAAGCTTCGCACGGGGTCTGAACACCTGTCCACACACAGCCTCATCTTAGGGGGGGCAGGAAGAAGCTGACCAAATAATGCACCAGTTGTTATGGCTGGGGGCTCTAATGGGAAGTGAGCCGTTGGGACTCCGGGGAGTTTACACTACAGGATGGGCTCCGAACTCAAACTGTACATGAAGCTTTGGTTTGAAACACGAAGCAACAGGGGACAACAAAATCATTTTCAGTATTCATGTTTAATGAACATAATGCATTAGTAATTAGAACAGATGTCCATGAATGCAGGAAATTACTTTGTAACCATCATGTGAGTCCAGAACATATTTAGTTTGCTAGGGCCTGGGATCTCAGCTTTCCAGTAAAGACCAGTACATCAGCATTGAATCATTGACTAGACAATAACTACAGAAAGACCTGGAAAAGAAAATAAACCCACATCATCCACAGGGAGAGGATGCAAAAACAAATCTGCTGTTCAGATGGAGTTACAGAAGCTAACGAAATGTCATTTGATGAGAAGCTCTATTTTCGGTACGCCTTCTGGTCTGTGTGGGAGAAAAGCTGAGATCTTTAGCCGCTTTCTGCAACGAGTCATGCTTCAAAGGTCAAATTGTGCAAATAAACAAACCACTCTAAAACAGGGGCACATGATCACATGACACGTGGCCTCATTTACTGACACAACCACCACCACCACTGCTTCAGGTGGGACTGGGGGGGGGGGGGCTTACTGTTTCTCCACTCCATGAGGAATGTGACAGNGGGAGATGATGGATGGATGGATAATATACATTTGCTTTTAGGTTTCTTGTGTGTGTCAGAAGGCGGGATCAAGTGTCACGGCAGGTGCAGGAGAGTCCGCAACCCTGCGTTATTTAGAAAGCTGTTTACCGAATAAAAAACATTTTCTTGAATTATTTTCATCATTTCATTGGTTTCAATTGTATATAAGCAGGTCGAAATTTTAAAAGCGCATTTTTTTGTATGAATTCCAGCGGTGATTTGGGCTTTACTGAGTATTTATTAAAATATGAACGAGGGGACAAAGTAATTAAATAAAATGATGCTAGCAGCTGTCCACTTAATACAGCCTGATATAATCTACAGTAATCAGAATTCGTTCCGATACCAGCTTATTACAGAATGTTAGTAAGTAAACCACAGGCAGAACACGAAAGCAGTCTTTTCATATCGGGAAAAATGATGCTTGTCAACACATTTCTCTTCTCATACACAGAAATTGGGGTTTTACATTTATGCCGTATTTGAGTATTTCCTGCTAAAAGTGAATACCATATTTAAAAAAGGTCATTCTTTTGCTGTAAAGTACAATTGTCTTTAAATGGATTTGTATTTGTTGACAAAACTCTCTCAACGTGACTTTTGTGTGTAATTCCTCTCTGGCAGAAATTTTAGGTTCAACTCTCAGGAAAGTATTTCTTAGCTAACCTGGAGTGTTGCTTTAGTAATCTTTCATGTATAAACAATATAAATAGCTTTTAAAACAATTCCATAATGAATATTCATTCATCTATCCATCTTTCAGCTAATTCTCCTGGTCAGGCTTTCAGAGCCCAAGGGCAGCACAGACCAGAAAGGCAGGCAGCAGGCATAGACCTGGGGGGATTGCAGTCCATAAATTCTACTACAGTATTCAAATCATTTAACTTCATGTTTTGCTTAAAAATGGAGCCAGGGATTGCTTTGGTAAGACTGGGAAATGTCTGAGAATTTGAAGTTCCTTAATTCACAAAAATCTCTGGGGAGACATTGAAAATTATAGTACCACAACCTGCGATTTATTTAAAGAACAGCTGTGAATACAAGATGTTCAGAGAGCTTCACTTCCGAACATCTGAGGCGAAACGCAGTAAACAGAACGGCTTTGTGTGCTCCCCTGACACGGGCTCTGCCCTGCCACCCCTGGCTTTCAGATTCTCCTCAGGCCTTTGAAGTCGTGCTAGTTAATGATCACCACTTACTGAGGTTTTGCTAGTTAAATGTGAAGTACTGACTGTGAGAAGGTGCTCAATCATTTCACAAAGCAGAGACGGTTAATTACAAAAGAAAACATTTATTTGGAAAATGGAGGCATTTTCCCCACTCAAGTTTGAGAAATACTACGTCACACTTTTCCTGAAGAGCAAATGGAACCAAATCCATTTCCATCTTTTCCCACATTTACAGGCAAATCAGAGACGGCCACCAGCTGCCCGTTACACAGTTTGATTGGAAAACCAGGTGCGATAATGACACGGGAAAGCAGCAAAGCAGTGTTAAGGGATCAGGAATACACCACTGGCAACTATAGAAGACAACCAGCCATGGGAACAAATGCTGGAAACATCCATCCACACAATGGTCCAGCTTCTCATTGGGCTGGCATTAGCAGGTAACGTGGTCCAACATGAATGCACAAGGACGGGACACAAGTCTATTGAGTGGCAGATGAAAATGACCTTAAACCGGGGTTCCCCAGTCCCAGTCCTGGAGACTCAGTCTGCAGCACAGTTTGCAGATTTCCCTGCTCACGCACCTTCTTCAGCTACACAGCAAATTGCCAGGCTTAGTAGATGTGTTTGAGCAGGGAAATCTACAAACTGTGTTGCAGAATGACCCCCAGGGTCGGAATTGTGGATTCCTGTCTGAAACTGATCACATCTGAAAATAAAAACCTAGATTTGTGTCAGATTGGATCAGTACATAATATTGCATAGAGCATTGCTGAATAAGATCCACCCATGAGCTGCTGGATCTACTCGTCTCACAATGACATTCTACAGCCAAGATGACGTCAATGCCGTCCAAGCCTGTGTACAGGATGCATTCAGCTGTAACCTGATTAGTGCAAAGGTACATTGTTGTTCTGCTTTGTTGTGTTGCAGCCCCAATTTGAAAGAGCCAGGCCAAACTGGCATTGTGTTACTTGTTACCCCTAAATGATTTTGTGGGCTCATTTTTGGTCGTTCACTGTCAACACCTAGGAATCACACAACAAGTAATAAGAGCAATGGCTCTAATATCAGTAACCATAACATCATCAACAACAACGACAAGAACATGATAAAAGACATTAAATCAATCACTTACAACAATGGTTGGTCAGACTTTTACATCATAAATAGCTTTCAGCAAGTGTTTCCCTCAAGAACGTGTTCAAAGAAATTAGGCCCCCGTACACAGCACCTGGCTGCGGATTGGCTGAGCCAGAGTGACAGCTAGCCTATCACAAAAGGCATTCCTTATATGGAAAAGTCCCCTCACACTTTAGCTGACTTTGGTGGGCATTGTCTTGACATTCCCCCAAAGGCAGTGGCAAGGGAAACAGGGGTGTCGCCTAACACTGGGCAGCCTGTTACATCTCTATGGCCTATGGGGGGGGGGAAGGAAGGCAGGAGAGAGAAGCTAGAGATGAGGCTTATTTACAGGACACCCATCTCCTGCACTAGAACTTCTTCACATTTAAAATCACTAGGAGGAGAAAGGCTTTTTGGGAGCGCTTGAGCTACGGCTTTCTGTCTTGGCTCCATGCGGCTACCCCTCCCCTCATCCCTGCAAGATATTAAACGCCAGTAAGAATCGGATCATGGGATTAAGGGGGGAGGGGCCGCAGCATTTGACACAATGGCCCCTTCAAGACATGTGACTCTGCTGTGGGGCCCAGTCATTTATTATTTTCCTCACACCTGCTCGCCGCCTCATTTTGCGTTCCTTTTTTCTCCAGGCAAGGCAATAAATATTACATGAGATGTCAGTGGAGCACCAGGGGCCACAGCCCGCTCTCAGTGCCATCAGGACACCTGCGTGAGCTCAGGGCAGCGTGCCGTGTGTCTGCAGAACCCTGGTCTGATTGGCGCCGCGGAGAACTCCCTGCCGGCTTTCAGCTCCGCCTCCGCACCACCAGGGCTATGGCGCTCATCTCCATTCTGTGTGGGGAGTCCTGAGGAGTACGCCCCTGACTGCAGATGTAGGGGGAGGGTGATATCCACCGGGGGGCTGTGTGGGACATGGTCTGATGGAGGAAGGACGGCACTGGCAACAACAGTCGTTTTGGCACCTTCGTGGCCGTTGCAGGAATCGAGGTTGTTGCCAAAGCTGCCACGGTCAGAATAGCCATCCAGGGTAAAGCCGTTGGTCTTGGCAGGGCAGGACTCAGGCGGGGCGGCAAGGGTGGTGGCGCGGGTGCTGCCGGGCCGGGTGGCGCTGCAGGAGCCGCTCTCAAAATGATCCCGGCGCCCCAGGACATGGCGGCGGATGATCCTGCGGAACGTGTGGCGGAATTCTCGGATGCGGTAGGCGTAGATGAAGGGGTTGACCACCGAGTTGGCGTGAGAGAGGATGATGGCCAGGTACATGATGCTGGCATGTGGCCGGGCGCACTCTGGGCAGAAGAGGGTGAAGCAGTTGATAACGTGCAACGGCAGCCAGCAGATGGCGAAGAGTCCCACAATGATGGCGAGAGACTTGGCGGCGTGGACCTCCTTCTGGAGGGTAGAGCGTGACCGCTCCCCATGCACCACCTTCAACTCCATCCGCTTCAGCTGCCGCCGCGCAGCCATGAAGATGCGCAGGTAGATGCCCAGCATGAGCAGCAGGGGCATCAGCACACAGCCAAAGAAGTTGAAGTAGACCATGTAGTCCATGGTGACTACCTTCTCAAAAAGGCACTCGATGGTGCCACTAGGGCACTTAGGTCCACTGGTGCTGTTGGTGAGCTTGGTGTCGTTCTGTGGGCGGTTCTTGGTGTGCCAGCCTAGCATGGGTGTGAGGCCGATGACCACCGAAAGCACCCAGCAGATGGCGATGATACCCTTGGCGCGCTGACTTGTCACCAGGCTGTTATACCTTGGGAAAAAAGAACAAAGGGATTTTCATGAGCTTTCCAAATCATAACAAAGACGCATGAGACACTCCCGGGCTGGGGGTTTAAATCACAAACCCCTGCTCAGTGTGTGTGGAGTGTGCATGTTCTCCCTGTGGATGTGCGGTTATCTTTCTGCAGGTCCAAAACAGGAATTCTGGGTTCTCTGAACTGTCCATAGTGTGTGATTCTCTTTGTGTGTACTGTACCCTGTGATGGACTGGTATCTTTTTGTGTGTACCCTGTGACGGACTGGTATCTCCTTGTGTGTATCCTGTGATGGACTGGTATCTCTTTGTGTGTACCCTGTGATGGATGGACGGATGGATGGACGGATGGATGGGTGGATGGGGATTTATGCATACAACCTTCACTGAATGACACTAAGCTGCAGAGTAAGTCATCCATGACATTTTTAAAGCATTTTAACTGCTATTCACATGCTTGAATGTTGCTGTATCAGCTTTCTGGGAAAATGAGGGCCTGAACCATAATGGATAATGGAGAGAGCAGGAAGTATCTGGCTGTTTTAGTCTGCAAGCTTCGCACGGGGTCTGAACACCTGTCCACACACAGCCTCATCTTAGGGGGGGCAGGAAGAAGCTGACCAAATAATGCACCAGTTGTTATGGCTGGGGGCTCTAATGGGAAGTGAGCCGTTGGGACTCCGGGGAGTTTACACTACAGGATGGGCTCCGAACTCAAACTGTACATGAAGCTTTGGTTTGAAACACGAAGCAACAGGGGACAACAAAATCATTTTCAGTATTCATGTTTAATGAACATAATGCATTAGTAATTAGAACAGATGTCCATGAATGCAGGAAATTACTTTGTAACCATCATGTGAGTCCAGAACATATTTAGTTTGCTAGGGCCTGGGATCTCAGCTTTCCAGTAAAGACCAGTACATCAGCATTGAATCATTGACTAGACAATAACTACAGAAAGACCTGGAAAAGAAAATAAACCCACATCATCCACAGGGAGAGGATGCAAAAACAAATCTGCTGTTCAGATGGAGTTACAGAAGCTAACGAAATGTCATTTGATGAGAAGCTCTATTTTCGGTACGCCTTCTGGTCTGTGTGGGAGAAAAGCTGAGATCTTTAGCCGCTTTCTGCAACGAGTCATGCTTCAAAGGTCAAATTGTGCAAATAAACAAACCACTCTAAAACAGGGGCACATGATCACATGACACGTGGCCTCATTTACTGACACAACCACCACCACCACTGCTTCAGGTGGGGGGGGGGGGGGGGGGTCTTACTGTTTCTCCACTCCATGAGGAATGTGACAGACATGATTCCTAGAAGTAGCTTCTTGAGGTTTAGCTCAAGTGCGATTAAATAAGGATCACAGCATTGTGTACTATCTATAAATCTAATCACATCTATAAGAGAGCCGTGAGTCATTGCAGAAAAAAATTACTCCAAATAAGCCACAAAATAAACACATTAATCATGAACTCCATTGTGCTCTGCTTTTCTTCCTATGTTTTCTTCCACATAAAAAGTCACACAATGATGACGAAAGCATGCTGAGGCCTGGATCAGTAAGTGCAATGTGAGCACGGACCAGTTTGGGGAGTTGGCGGGGTGGGGGGGGGGACAACCATGCTCAGGCACGGTAGAAGACAATCGGGTCAATTGTGAGTACACCCTAAAACCCACTCTCTACAATGACCCCCATAATCCGTCCAGTAATGTTACGAAACCATTTTGGCCCCACTAGAGGATACTGCCCTGATCCTTCAGGCTTTCTGTACCAAAAATCTGACCGATCGTTCAATATTTAGCCATCCATCCATACTCCTTATCAGGCACAAGGTCACGGTGAACCTGGAGCCCATTCAAGGAAGTCGAGAGCACGAGGCAGTGCCTACCATTCCGTGGCGAAGCGCACACATACACCGTGGTCAACCGAGAGACACTAAATCGCCTAACTGCATGTTCTTGGACTGCAGGAGGAAGTTCACACAAAGGTAGGCGGAACAAGCAAAGTTCCACCTGCTCAGAGCCAGTGCTGACCCGCTGCAGTGCTGACCCGCTGCAGTGCTGAGCACTGAGCCTCCATGATTGATTTGGCTTTTATTTGCCATTTATTTATTTGGCAATGTTAAAATTTTAATATCTTTCCGAAAGGCCCAGGAGCAGACATGCCCCGCATATGACGACCTAATACGGAAATCTTTCAGGCTGCCTGCTCACTGGACAGGAGCGCCCACGGCGCGGTGACAACCCAACTGCAGAATGGACTCAGGCAGCTGCTCGGACAGCTATTAGTGTGAGGAGAGCCGGGCCCAGGCCTTCCGAGCGACGCGCCGGACAGAGTGCATCTGTTCTCACTGAGGACAGCAGGAATCGATCTTGTCATTTAGCCATTAGCTGCTTTTCTGCACCAATAAAACTTTGCCCCCATGAGGATTCATTTTTCCCCATATTTAGGGCAGCCTGTGTCGGCTGTGTTGTGTCAGACTCCACGGTGACGCACGACGGACCGTCTTTGTGTTGGTGAATCAGGAAAGTGGGGATCACTCAGTCCTGACGTGTGTGTGTGTGTGTGTGTGTGGGGGGGGGCTACAAGCCACTCCCATCAGCCCCGTAGTCTGCACCCCCTGCCTCCAAACCTCAGACACACACATACATGTTCCTGCCTATAATCTGTTTGCTGGGCAAAACCCGCAAACGATTCAGTTCTCGCAGTCGGTCGCATAGGTGAACCACAAGAAACTTTCTGTTGTCTACATTTTGATTCATTTCCTCTTAGGTCTTCTGCTCTCTGCATACGGCTCCCATGCCTGGGAGTCAGCGTTCACCCCTGTTCCTATCCATCATTCCAGGGTTTGACAAAAAACCAGGGCAGGATGGGGTCTGCTATTGTATATTCACAGCAAAGGTGCCCAACCTAAATGTTCCTGTGAAAACATTCAAGCACTCTTTACTGTCAGACATGATGCTTTATTGTTTCCAGTAACAGCAGCCACTAACCAGCTAAATAACGGAAAAACTCTCAGCTGGTTTTTCTGATGCGTGTTTCTGAAAGTGCTCATCTGTCACACTCGAGTTGTGTGACGCGTCATTTCTTTGTGTACAGTTGCGTGGGCAGACAGCCATTACATGACAAGACGCTTCTCTCCATACTGGATTGTATTGCAGCTTGATGCTGTTCTTGCAGACCTAATATTTGTTGGTTTGAAATAGCACAGTGATTTTAGCTCAGCCAGTGATGTAAAACCAGTTTACCATGTTAAAAAGAAAGCATGTGAATCCTGGGAAGAATGTTACATAAACAAGTCCATGGAAATTCGATTTATCATCCTCCAACCACTTTTAATGGCTGGGGGGGGGGGGGGGGGGGGGGGGGGGGGGGGGGGGGGGGGGGGGGGGGGGGGGGGGGCTGGAGGCTCAAGGCGGGGGTACACCCTAGAGAGGACACCAGTCTACTGCAGGGTAGATACATGCAAACACACAGGATGGGGAATTTAGATATATTACCATTTACCTAAATGTAAAACAACCATGGGAGAAACTCAGGTAACACACAAATTCTCCACACGCAGAGCGGAGGAGGGATTCAAACCAGCAACCCTGCCGGTGGGAGGCAGCAGGGTACCCAGTGAGCCACTACACTACCCACTTACACGGTTGTATAATGCTGAAAATTTATAAAAGATATATTTTCATTATAAACAAACCATAACTACTACTGCAGACTGAAATACATAACTGAAGTAAAACCACCATTACTATACTGAGATCTACTATAATACATCTTGTTACAGACATTTTTATCCAAGGTGCCATATAATTGAAAAGCAGGGTCAGCCAGTTCCTGGAACAATTGGGGTTAAGGGCCTTGCTAAAGGGGCCAATGGTGACATCACTCTACAGATCACAGAGTATAAACCAGGGTGCTAACCTGCAGAGTTACCCCCATTCCTATTAATAACGCCAAAGAAAAGAAAACTATATTCTCTGACTTATTCTGGGTATAGAGAGTAGTCGCTTTCATCTTTATAATTAAATTTACCATATTTACTCCACAATGAATCAGTGACAAATTACTATATATTTTGTGGCTAGTCTTGTTGTTAAGATAAGTAAATTAGTGCCCACTCCCCTTTGATCATTCTTAAAGCAAAACAGACTTCAAAAGTTTAATAGCATGAATGCAGAGGAGAGCCCATTCATCAACCACTTGATAACATTTCCTCCGGAAGTCATAAAAATACACTGGTGAAGTGTCTGGTTCGTTGGTTGAAAAGTAAATGTTACAAAATAAACAAGCTGCCGAGTATCCGCTTGTCATCAAAATAAATTGCAGAAGCACAGCGAGAACCTGTTTGTTAATCTAATTTTCTATAATGTTGGGAGATTATTATTTAAAAATGTGATAAAACTGATGATCCTTCAACAAATAGCAGTTACATGTTATTAGCTGGGAGCCTGAACCATCTTTCCGGTGCTTTTTATACACCATTTTCAATTATTTGCCATTTCGATGGCCAAAAACCAAGCAAAACCCAAACCTGAGACAACGAAGGACCCAAAAGTAGAGCAAAAACCAGACCCAAAACCAGATTCAAAAGCAAAACAACACCTGTGCCAAAAACCAGATCCGAGTAGAGCTAAGAGCAGAGCCGGAGCAGACTGAAATCATGAAACAAGGAACTCCTATAAAGAGGGGGCTTATGAGGAACTGTCACTGATTATAGTCTGTCCCACCACTTCACTGAAACAGCCTCCTTCATAGTTACCAGTAAAAACATTAAATACAAAAAAACAATGGAGTTCATTATCAAACAAAAATGTAACTGTAACCGGCACATACACACACCCCTGGGTATGAGTGGGATCACTGTAAGATACCAACAAAAAAACCCAGGGTGTTTTTTAGCTGACCATTTCCCGGAAGCAAAAAAAAACAACTGAACAAACAAAAAAAACAAAAGCCAAGGGCAGCTGGGTCAGGAGGGGGGATACCCTGGTTTCAAAGGATCATAAAGGCAAGCCAACCCAACACCATAAAGACAAACCAACTCAACACCATAAAGACAAGCCAACCCAACAACATAAAGCCAACCCAACGCCATAAAGTCAGGCCAACCCAACAACATAAAGACAAACCAACTCAACACCATAAAGCCAAGCCAACCCAACACTGTAAAACCAAGTCAACTCAACGCCATAAAGCCAAGTCAACCCAACACCGTAAAAGCAAACCAACTGAACACCATAAAGCCAAGTCAACCCAATACTGCTAAAGCCAAGCTCAAGGCAGGCTGTAAGGCACTTTCAGCCCTGGCTGGTCCCCCATGACAGCACCTACATCAAGCCGTTGCCTCTTTGACTGCTGTTTAATGTAAAATAAGGTCACAGATTCAAGGACAGAAATCCAGCCAATAACGCAGCCATTTCAAATGGCCACATATCCAGTCACGGTCACAGTGACGTCAGGAGGGAGGCTGCACAAGGCAGATTCGCCCTGAACGGGCACAGATCCATCGCCAGACGCATGCTAATGGACCTAGACACACTCTAAGGGCAACCTGGAGTGGCTGATATCCTTGACCTTTGTTCCCATGGGAGGAAACCCATGTGGACAAGGGCAGGTCAGGCAGAGCCGCCAGTCCAGTGACGTCCAGTGGGATTTCAATTCCCAGCCCTGAAGGTGAGAACAATAAACCCTCCTGATTCACAGGGCCAGCCCAGTATTAAAGGCCCCCCACCAATCACACTTGACAGTCCTATGGGGGGGGGGGCATCTTCATTTTTTTAAGTTTATATCCCATCCATCATCATTCTCCCAACTGCTTATCCAGCTCAGGGTCACCTGGACAGCCTGGAGTCTGTCACAGGCAGCGCAGGGCGCAGAACGTCTAGTATAAATGTAAACATAAATAATCTATTATAACAATATCTTAAGGAAAATTTTTCTTTTTTTTTCCTATTCCTATTATGGAGTTCTGTAATACCTCACAATTTCCCTCCATCATGGATGTGACGGATAGGGTCACATCACATTTATTCATGTGACAGACACTTTTTTCCCAAAGCGACAGACACTCCCTTTAACAAATGGGGTTTAAGGACTTTGCTCAGGGACCCAACAGTGAAATCACTCTACCGACCACAGGATTTGATCCAGCAACTTTCAAATTACTGACATAGTCCATGCAATGTGTAAATGACGAGTTCAGTGAAAGAGGTCACTGCAGCGGGTTAGGGTTAGGGTTAGGCTGAGGGTCAGTGTAAAAGAGGCTCACCGCAGTGGGATCTTGATGGCGATGTAGCGGTCAATGGCGATGGCCAGCAGGCTGAAGATGGAGCTCTGCGTGAGGACGAGCACAAAGCAAGCGATGAAGAGGCAGCCGTAGAAGTGGGCACAGAAGCCAGTGCTGATGGCGATGGCGAAGGGCACGGCCAGCACCCCCACGGCGATGTCGGCTGCTGCCAGCGACACCACAAAGAAGTTGGTGATGGTCTGCAGGTTGCTGTTGAGGCAGACGGCCCAGCAGACGAGCACGTTGCCCAGGACAGACAGCACGGCGATCAGCAGCTCCAGCACGATGTAGACGATGGCAGGGGCATTGTACAGCATGGTGGAACAGGCCGCGGGGACACCAGGCACGAGTGAGGGGTTCTCGCCGCAACGTCCATAGCTGCAGCTCCGGTGGTACAGCTGCTCGAGGGACGCTGCCCCACCCCTGCCACGGACCAAGGGCGTTGCTCCGGGGCTCAGTTGAGAAACTTCTAGATATGTCAGTTCTGCCAACTCTCCTGTTTTCTGTTGTCTTTGATTTGGTTTCCTGCAGAAGAACCGGTTTCCAAAAACAACCAGTAGGTCTGGTCTGGTGCCAAGGTATAATCACAAGGAGGTCACCATCCTGCAGCTAAATGGGGATTAAAAAAAATTAATAAGTAGCAGCATCATTTACTTCCTTACACTCACTAGTCAGTTTCTCATTAAACTTAAGTGAAAAAAAATTGAAAAATAAGGAAAGTTCTATTATAGGTAAATTATTTGAATCCCTTCAGAATACAAACGCCTTCTCATTTTACTGCCATTTTACAAGTGAGGTCGTATTTTTTTTATGCAAAGAGGCCCTATTTGTAAATTGCTCTTCTTGAGAGACACATATTGGGGGTCAGAGTGTAGGATCAGCCAACATGCAGCACCCTTAGAGCACTTGGGGTTAGGGGTCTTGCTGTGGAGCACATGACCTTCTGCGATGGGTCCTTAACTTACTGTGGTACACAGCATTTCCTCCAGCAGGACACCACCCTTCAGGCAGAGCTGAATACCAGCAAGGAGGCGGTTTGGCCACGAGCACTCAGGGTCAGCCCCCGGAATGTGTGAAGAATCAGGAAAGCCTGGAGTCAGCCGTAACTCCCAGAAGCCCTCATCTCACAAGTGTCAGAACAACACAAGGATCAGACTGAGGACCAGCATTAAAAGTGCTTAAACACAAGCCAGACATTCAGGTTCCCCATAGACCGACATGGCAGTACCACATGCGTCAGGGAAAGGCAGGCCAGATCCCGCACGCCATCATTCAAACGCAAGATCGGGAGATGCTATGCAAAGGAACCGACCTTAGAGGTCGACGCTTTGATGGACTGATAAAGTGACAGGGGGTTTCTATGGAGACCGCATTCCTCTTTCACAGGATCCATTTTGGAGAGTAAATTTTTTAATAATTACCCAGCATGCAAACAGATAAGGCTACAGTTCAGCAGCAGCCAGGAGCATCTGGGATGCTTCCGATGCCCCCGAGGTGACCAGCGTATGATAAGCAGGAGGAGCAGCTTATAAGAGAAGGAATCCTGACTTATTTATGTCAGCAATTATCGCAGCCAGCCAGCGGCACATAACGCTGCACCTCTCAGGCAAGTTTGCTAGAAGGTTCCATCGGACGTGATGGAAAGTGTTGATTGCCATAGCTCTCGCACGTTCTGCAGGCAGGAAGATCTAGCATCGTGACGAAAATCTAACGCAAGAAATCCAAGAGGTGTGATCTGTAAGAGTCATCGTGGTGTGGGCAGCAAGATTTCATCCTCACGGAGCCGGTCTCCACAGAGGCGGCCAAGCAGACAGCAGCTGCATCTGGAGACAGGAACCATTGGACTGAAGTGCAATTCATTCATTTGAGACCCCCCCCCCCAGCAACTGTTCTTCAGAAATGCAAAGAATTCTCAGCAGGAAAGAGGAAGTCAGGGTGTGGTCAGCTTGGTATAGGCTCCTGAGGTCACTCTGATCACGCTGAATCACCCTAGTGCCCTTTAAAACATGGCTGCTTATCAACGCGTGTGAGATACCAAGCTATCACATCCATACGGGCTTCGGGTCTCAAAGAACTGCCAGTAGGCGGAAATGAGAGAAAGCTGAAAAACAACAGAATACCCGGAAAACTGGCCTTCATCACTGTTAAAATGCCATATTTGCACTTTTCTGTTTTGGTTTATTTTTTTGGTGCACAATTAATAATAGCTCCAGAACATTTAAAAATAATAATAATAATAATTGTACTCCACCACATTATTCAAAAACCCAAGGTCAAGTAACTGTGTAAATCATTACACAGACCTTCACGTGAAGGTCACTCTGAAATGTGTCACTGTCCATCACGGTTTTTTTAGCAGGCAGTGAAAGGATATATCTTTTTATGGACAGTAAATTCTGAATTTTATGCCCTATATGCAAATTTATAATCACATGTTGCTGTAAACACAAGAGTTACTATTCATTTCAGTTTAAGGGTGACTGACATTTTTGCACAAGCAAATCCTAGTTACCAACAGAAAAAAAATGCTAGAAGTAATGTCCAGAGTGGCTAGTGAGATCCAGCTCCAGGACAGGACGTGAACACAAACGATAATGATAACCAGTAAAGTGTGCCCGCATTCCAGTAGGTTCTGGGTTTTTAATCTTTTGGCCATCAGTGCTGCATGCTGGCTGAGACTGTGCCCTCACAGTCTGACCCCACAATTTCCTCATTTGTATGTCGCTTCAGCTAAATAAACAAATGTACTTCCCTCAAAGTTTTCACAGCAGACTCGACACTACCTGGAATGGCTTCCTCCCATTTAGCTCTATTTGTTGAACATTTCCGCCACTGTACGATGTTCATTCCAGCTGTAACATTTAAAAACCAGCCCACGATTCCTCAAACTCTGCTTTCCACTCATTTTTTTTGCAACCGTAAGCCATTCAAAAGGCAAAGTAACGCAAGGGGTTCAACCTGAACAGAGCAGGAAAATGTGCCAAGCACCAGGAACCAGCAAGAAAACCAGGGCTATGTGACAATAATAATCCAACATAACATCAATCCAAGAAAGAGACAGCCCGCTTCTACTGATGTGAGACACAAGAAAACTGTCAAATGGCAAAGAAAGATCCAGGAAGTATAGGCCTGAATTACTACTGAGATACAACTCACGGAGAAAGACTCACAAAGACTCACAGAGAAAGACTCACAGAGAAATATTCACAAAGACTCACAGAGAAAGACTCACAGAGAAATATTCACAGTTTATCAAAAGACTTATAATTTTATTTTTGAGCCAGTAGATGCCACAGGGGCATCCGCCCAAAAAATAAATTCATCCAGACTCTCTCTGTCCTCATGAAATTCTAAGAAATGTGGCAAAAGTACAGTAGGCAATAATCTAAGTACTCAAAACATTACGGAAAAATGACCAACATCTCTTTTTGGGCTGCTGATATACACTGTTTGAACTAACTGCAAGACAAGTAAACAACGTGAGCCACTGATATATGTATGCTCTGCTATCTTTATGATGAATACTGGTCCACCATCAGCTATGGGATGAGTGCTGGATGGTCATGCCCTTTCTGTTTTTTCCAGAGGTGCTAAAAGAGTCGTCTCTTCTGTGATTATAACAGTTACATGAATCTCAACTACAACAACAACAACAACAAAAAACACAAAACCGGGCTCGGTATATCATGCTCAATACTGGCCCCTGGCGGTAAGACTGCACCTCTCGAATTTTTCAGAGGAAAGTGCGACGAAGTGAAACCATGCCCGTCACGGCGCTTAAATGTTCACATTTTCAGTAACCTGGGCGTGTCCGTGACGGCTGGATACCAGAGACTGTGTTTTCTCTGAGGTTGAAGCCGAACTTTACAATGCGCATTATGATTATTATTTCCCTTCCTTATTAGATTAGCAGTGGGAACTGTATCACTTCAATTCTTAAACTGTTCAAACGACACGTACCACATACATATTACTTGTGCTGCATATTGAAAATTTGTACTCTTTACACTACAAAAACAAGAAAGTTTATCTATACCAGACCCCTTTTCCTATCCGACATCAATTTATGCATTTATTAGAAATATGTATGGAATTAACTATTTTAGGAGAGCGTTTTTATTAGACCCTTAATTATTGTACGACGTTAAACTTACCACATGATTTTATTCCAAAAGGGAAACATATTTGTACATTTTAATATTTTCAGTTAACTAGTAATTAGTAACCGAAACTTTGAATCAACGTTGTGGTTTTGTGGAGTGCAGACACGGAAAGATAAAACAGCATTCCACGAAAGCAATGTAATTTTTTACACATTGTTAAATCCGATACTGAATATACATTTTCCCTCCTTCTCCCGATTATTCTATCTTGATTGACCATTGTTTAAATTATCTAAAAAATTAGGTTCGTATCGCCTATTCTCCATGCACTCTTCATGATCCGAAATTCACTGTATTTAAATTGCACCAGAAAGATGCTTGTTAGTATTTAGAAAGGCAATGCTCCTGTCTGCTAGTGAGAAGACTGATTAAAACGTCTCTTGGTGAACCACTGTGTTAGTGATTATAAGGCATAAGATGTCAATTATTAGTCTGCAACAAACACGCATGCCTTCATTTTCTCCTGTCTTAATCGGAACTACATCCTTTAAAATATCTGGATTAGCGTTTCACTGCAGTTGCACGAAAATATTAGAAAATATTCGCAAAATTGTAATCATCACTATAAGAACAAACACCAGCATTTCAATTCGCAAAGAATAATCAATAAGCTATTTACCTTTATTTCACAGGTTGTCCATCTCCATTTCCCACAACAGGCTAAATAAAATTTTTAAAAAGTTGTTTTTTTTATCCACAGAAACGGTTTATCTACTCTAAATTTAGTTTGCCAACGCTATGGCGTGTCAGACCGCGAAGACTAAATGAAGTTGCCTAAATGTCCTGTGTGCCTTCGGCAGCATTTTGGTAGAAATGAAAAGTGCAACTTGCGGCTTGCTTCTGGGTGACAGTAGATCCGCTAGGGCTGCGTCTGCATGAACTCAAAAACCGCCCTATCCGCTCCTCAACATATTCACGTAGTCTGGGTAATTGGCAAAGTAAATAAGAAAAAAACGGTACGAGTTTAACCTACATTCGCCTTATCAGGAGATGCTCGTACCAGCGCGGTTTTTCATTTCTCCATACGGTCGTGTTCAGGCTTGCTTAATCACCTGCACACACGCACGTCACCGCTTCCGCTGCGCAGATCAACTTCGGAGGGGTCCGCAAGAACAATGCAGAGCCGCCCCATCACGCAGGCCGACAAGTTTAGTTATTGTAAGGGAGTGATGCCGGTGTTTGTACAATGTGTCCGCTGATTCTGGTCGACATGTTCAGCTATCAGTGTCCCTACAGCAATGTATGTGCTTGATGATTGCATATCTCTTGTCCTTCCACGCCAGTAACACGTGGCTGTACGTACCCCAAAATATGGACCGTATGACCATTAGTACGAGTCCGCCACCCCCGGGGATAGGGACATTCTCAAGCAGTGTCCAGTTGGTAGACGATGACCATCTGACCGAGAACCGGTGAAGGATAAGTTCAATGTTATTAAGAGGGAGTCATGGAATCCTCTACGGCAGAGATTGATGGGGTATAGTCTACATGAGCAAACTTTTCCTGAAAAAAATGGGTAGATTAGGAAATGTCGCTCAATTTTTTATTAGATATAGACCAAAAATTATTAAAATCACTGTTGAATTTTAGTTTATTTTAATATCATTCAGTCGTAAATTGAGTAGAATGCGATTTCAACAGGAACAACAAATCTGTAAGAAGAGGTTCTCCATCTAATTTTCCGATCCAAAGAGTGTTCTGACAAAACAAGGCAAAGACTAACATAAACGCAGAACATCTTTAAAATACACTGGCATCGATCCTACCTGTTTAGAACTCAATCAGAGGGATGCAGCAAGATTCTTTCATTAGAAATCCCATTACTTGTTGTTCTTATGTTTTTATGTTCTGTTCACGCTGGAGGAAAATGCTGTTTTGATTGCAGTTTTTATGCTCAGGTTACCAATAAATGTCCCCTCATAGCCACTGGATGTGGGCATTGTCATCCTAGAGGACTCTGCTCCTGTAATGATGATAATTTTGCATCACATGTTCTCACTCAAGATAACTTTGCTGTTGGTATTTATGTTTAAGAGGTTGTGTAGAAGCCATGCCAGGGAAAAGCACTCTACACAATAGCAGTCATACCGTAGCAGATGGAGCCAAATCTCTCTGTCATGGGAAGCCAGCAATTCTGGCGTGCATCATTAGTGAATTTGTTTGTCTATTGAGGAAGATGACTCATGAGTACAACTCTCACTACTGAGCAGACGGCTCTTCCTGTGTCCTTTATGGCACTTTAATAGAAGTTTTTCAGACACAATAAATGATACATGTGATACACTGTAACTTCAGAGAAGGGGAGGCTCTTGATTAAACTGCATACTTACGCCTCAGACTGGCATTTATAGTTTCTGTTTTTGCCTTCCAGCATGAACTAGTGCACCAAAATCATGTCTGAGGATTTTTAAATTTTCTGGGCGGCCCTAGCTGATGATGTCATGTGAAACATCTGCAAGTTGACTAGTTCTCATCAGTTTCATTACAATAATCACCCCTCTTTGAAAGTCACTAAGAACACCTTTGACCATGATCATATACAACATTTCTATATGTTATCTAAACCAGTATTTCTCAAATGTTGGGTCATTGTCAATGGGTTGCGTCATCATTGCAAATTTGAGTCATGATTTGCTGATAATAATGGGAGTCCTGAAGTTAACCCATTGGAGGACAGTTATATAGAGAACAGAAAACAGTTCAGAGTGAGTGAGGCATACTTCATACAGAGCGTGTTCCTCTACATAATACACAAAAATACCTTTCAAACGCAAGAGTGAGTGACTTTGCTCCTCAGTTAATTCATGGAATCGTGTATCTGTCTTATGTGGACATACTGTGACTTTCCGCAGTGGGCAGCGTGTCAGACCCATTAAGGAGCTCTCCATCGAGAGGCTCTGGAAGACCCGTTTCACCTCATCCTCTTCAGTCGGCAAACCAATGTTGCGTGGAGCTCCCTCCTCCAAATGAGTAGTGTAACTCTAGACTTTTCTCATGTGTGGTTCCCCGTTGGTGGAATGAGCTGCTGAACCACATCCAGTTATCAGATTCTCGCTCCACCTTTAAGAAACACCTTAAGACCTACCTGTTCCAGGAATACCTCCATTAGCCAGGCACCACTCCATGTTCCTTGAAATTTTGCACTTTCTGCTGATTTGAATAGCAGTTTTATCAGGTTCTTGCTTTGTCTGGATGATATTTTGCAGCTCCTACTCCAATCTTGCTTACACCTCTCCAATCTTACATTCACTTTATCATTCATGTCATCTCTTGTCATCCTGTTGTCTGTCTTGCTGTCTATGTTCACTGTCTGCAGGAGCTCATGCAAGTACTGTAAGCATTTCATTGTACACGGTACTTGTACTTGTACTTGTACACATGACAATAAAGAATTGAATTGAATTTAATTGAATTGAACCTGTACCTGGTCACTCACTGGAAGCTCAGCCTAGCCAACTCCTTAACAGCACGTATGAATGTAATGTTTTTTTCCTAAGTGATTAGTTGTCATTGTTGACACACCACAACACACAGTGCACAACAACGAAATGTGTCCTCTGCAATTAACCCATATGTCACATCGTGACATAACAGGGGGCGGCCAACTCAGTGCTTGGAGGTGGTACCCTGCTGGTTGATGTTGCTCTGGACAAAAGCATCTGCTAAATAAAGTAAATGCAATGTAAATGTCAGCGATGGGCTTTGGGATACGAGATATAAGAGGGAAGTGTATGCTGGTTTTCATGGCAACCCACTGACCTCATCCTATATACCATTCTAAGCAAAACCTTTTTATAGACGCACCAGAGAAAAGCACAATGTTTGGTATGGAGCACGAAGAGATACAATCACCCCAAATTTAATTATATTAAATGCATTTAGTGGTTGGAGCGAAAATTTGCAAATGCAAGTCTGGTTGGACTGGGTACCCGCAGGTTATGGTTCACAGGCTGGAATAGACAGCCAAGGACTCCACCGGATTATACATAAATTACTGTGAAATTATGGATAAATACCAGCCGCAAAAGGACAAACGTGAATAGATAGTCTGATATTGTTTATGCAAACGCATCAGGGTTAACAAAGATTAATGTACCCCGGGTTGCAGCACTCAATCAACCAACAGCTCAGGCTTTTAATAGCCACAGATTAACTAGCAGACTAACCTTAAAGCAGAAATGCTCTCCACCAGAGCAAGGAAAGACGTTATGGTTCGAACAATGGATCCCTGTGTGCCTGACCTTTGTAGCTACTTTTACTAGGCATAATTGAGGAAAAAGGGGGGAAAATTAACACAATTTAATTAATCAGTATTATTTGACATGCCAGCTGGTTGAAACCAGCCGTATCCTGAACATAAAGATAAACACAGGCTGTACTGCATTCAACAATGTAAAAAAATAAATAAAACTGCACCCCAACCTATTTGCATTTTTCTGTAGTATTCTACAGAATAGATCTTAAAATATTGCCAAATGACTCTGACAGAATCAGGGATTTTAGTCTGTCACAGCTGAGCAGTCCGTTGCCCTTTGGCGAGATGTTAAGGCATAAGGCCACTGTGACATTTTAAGTTGGGTCAGTGAAGGGAGAGTGGAGACATCAGCCTGGATCTGCATGGAATTTCTACAGGTGTTAGAACATCTAAAACTAAGAAAACAAAAATAGAAGGACTAAGAGCAGGAAGTAGGAAGACGCTCCCCCTAAGTCATCATCCAACTTTACTTTTAACTTTCCTATAGTCTGAGAAAAAGAGGTTATAAAGTATGTTCATTACCATTTCAGATTGACTAATAATGTGTGTATAATGTGCATTAAAGTGTTACAATGTCAATCTTCAGAGGCTTTTTAGATTATAATCTTATTGAGGCATTTATAACAAACTATAACAATAACAGGGATCATGCGTGACTCAGTGGGGACTGGGATTACCTCGCCCCTTGAAAATTCCAGGTTCAAATCCCACCCCTGTTGTGTGAGTGAGGGGTTCCTCTCCCTGGTTCCGTCCACAGTTCAAACACGTGCGGTCAGGCTAACTGAGCTGTCTAAGCCTCCTATGCTGTATGAATGTGCACCCCATGATGTAGAGGCATCCCCTCTGAGGGGACTGCAGACAGGCTCCAGCCATGTGCCTGGAAGACGGATGTAACAAGATTGGTTAAGATAAGAAATAATTACAGTAGAGAAGAATCTTTCTTTATGCATAAATAAGTTACGTCACAGTGTAAAAAAATATGCATTGTATTGTTTAAACAAACTACACTCACCAGGACAGCACTAGTACAGCAGGTCGCTGAGATTTTTACAAGGCAAGGATTAATTATAAACACAGACTGTAACTTTCCACAGCACAAGCTGGTCTACCCCTACCAGGCATCAGCACCAACCCATTCTTCTTGCAGACATGTGCAGGCCTCAAAGGCCAAAAGGCAGCTGGACGGATATGCCCACTACTATACTGTGGTGTAATTTCAGTAAGACTTGTAATTAGACCAGATTGCAGTACTGTTTGAATTTATAGTGCTTGGTGACAAAGATTTGGTTCCATTCTCACCGTGGTGTGCTCATTCACAGCCCTTCAAAATTATGTGCGATTAAAAATGTCCTGTTTTGTTAGGGTTATTCTTCTCCGCTTTTTCCAAATCATCTCATTACTTCCTTAAGTAAACGCCATTAATTTAATGATACCTTAAATTTCACAAATTACCCAATGTGCTAAGGTGGGTCTGGGCTAACAGAGGCATTCAAACCTGTTTGATACGTTTACGGTTACATTAGTGATTACTGTGTTTAATGCCCTTAACCAGCGCACCAAAATCTTAGCACCTGTACCATTAAGACAGGCTTTTAATTGAAAACTGGGAAAGTAAAAGGAAAGGGTGATTACATCTCCATGCCCACTTTTGTATAATGAGAAAAAGGCAAGATCAGAGGTCTTGACTCACAAAGATTAAAAAAAATGTGAAGTAATAATCACTACACTATTTAGTGTCCTTTGCAGTCATACGACACCTTTACAGCACAAAACAGACACAAAAACACTGACCTCAAAGACTAGGAGAAGCTTGAAGTATTTTAATTACATTCAACATGATACACGTGAAAATAAACAAGGAGTATTTCAATGTTTTCTAGGAATCCTCACCTACGTTGCTTTCATTGCAGATAGTGTTAACTCAGGAGTTTACCAAAACGTAGGTCATGGGTTTAGGATCCAGGTAACAAAGTAGTTCTTCCATGGAGAGGACAGCTTAAACTCCGGCAAATGTCATGAACGTCCACACAATGGTCATCGGAAGGCATTTCGGTTTGTGGAGACGAGAACAGCGGACAACAGTCTGTCAAGGACAACGTGAATCAAATGTGTGAACCACAGTAACATGTGGACATGAACCTGAGCACGTTTCCACTCCACTGTCCAGACGGGGGTCTGTTCCCATGGGAACAGCATTTGACCACTGCCTGTCAGCTCTGACTGCCAGGCGACACCAACCAATTACTTAAGCAGCTTGTCATAAAATAAAAAAGCAGCCGTAAGACTTTAAGAAACTATACACAATTGTACAGATAACTAACATGTATTCTCTAAGAATGATGGAAGACCTTCATGGTCCCCGAAAAGAACATCCTCCCCCGATGAGCCGAGAGCCGTCGGAGGTGAACGTGTGCTTCTCAAAAACTAAGCCGTGCTCCGCTTGGAAGCTGTGGTCTCGTGAGGTTTACGCAAACGTCCGCTTTAGGCACAAATAATTACGACTAGGAGCTCATAAGGCAGTAGGGGATGAGCTTTCCCACGTGGGGGGCCTCGAATGCAGTGGGGGACTGGGGGGGGGGGCTTTTACAAGGGCGGCAGCTCCAGACTGACAGGGGGGGCTCAAGGTAACAGCTCAATTTCCCTGAAGCCTGTCACTCTCAATGCCGGCCCCCAACACAAGCCCATAGACTGAGACCTGATATTGCAGTGCCAGATTAAAAATCTCTATTAGTGGCTAAAATCGGAACTGCTCAATTGTTTTTCAAACTAATAAATGTTTTATGTACACACAAAACTTGAATTGCCAAACCATAATATTGAGTAGTATATTTCATCCAATCTGAACTGCCAATGTGGGATGTGAGCCAAGGACTCAATTATGTGGGTAAGACTCTAATCATCCTTTCAGCACTAATTAAGACTCCAATGGAAATCAGCCTGTACATTAAATCAGAGAGGCCATTAATGCTTGAGATTTGTGTCTGAAAGGGAAGTTACAGTGAGGAGTTAGGCATTTCCCCTAGCCTGGAACTCAGAAGCTGAAACACACAAAATGATTATTTCAAATCATTCTTTTTTGGTTTTAGAAAATTAAAATAAATGGCACATGAAGCAGTTAAATCCAGCAGAAAATGGTGCATATCAGCAATGCATATTTAGAATACTGTTTATATTGCTGCTGAACTGTATGACCTTGAAATGACCTCTCACAACTTAACATTCTCACCCAAACACACACTCCCTTCAATCACAGCCTTAGAATCTGAATCGCAGTGTCCCCATTCTCCATGATCGCACCTCTAACTCAGCAATCTGAGTTCAGATGAGACAGACCATTAATAAGGCATTCGTATGCTGCAAAGAGTCTCCATCAACAGCCATGATGGATGAAAACTAATGTTTGAAAAACAGAAGAGAAATACATTTAAAAATGTATTCTGTAATATGAGATATAGTGCAGTACAAGTAACATATCTCTGACCATGAAAGATAAAGAAAAGCCATTATCCTCATGGCCTAGACTGGTCCATACACTCTCCGTGAGTAATTTAGAACAAAACTGTGATTACCAATTCCAATGGTAATGCCAAGCTCACTGGTCAACCATCACACACTCATTGTTTGAATGTTGTATTGCCCATAAAGTAGGCACTTAGCTTATTAAACACTCGCTCTTTCCATGACTTCAGAGGATACTTCACACCAGGGTTTCATGACAGAACACTACCAAGCGACAAAACAAGACAAACGATACGAAAAACCAGTAACGCAGCTCCCTCAGCCTGAGACAGGGTGCCCATAAAGCTTATGATCGACTGGCTTCCTCCAGCCCCCAAAACATTTGGTTCAGTCTCTCAGTGATCTCTGACTAAATCTTAAATTATCCAAAACCACTGTTGCAATTATAAAATTATACATTTTAATAACTTTTTAAGACCAGCAAAACAAAAAGTGTAACGACTTAAATAGAACATGAGCGTGAATCACAGGCTTTTTCAGCACACAGCACACTGAGCCTACTCTTCGGAGGACCTTATCCCACAAGGCTCTGCTCAGTCGGGCACCGTGTTGGCCAAACTTGGACCCTATTACCCTATTGCTGAAAGACAAACAAGCTCAAAACAACCAGAACACCCCAAACCAATATTCTCAGATTTAAACTCCACACGATTTCCATGAAAATTATACTGAACCCACAACTGTGCACTTGCTGTTAGTCTACGGATGGTTTAAATAAGCAAGCAGTGGGTGCTAGGAAAGGCACAAAGGTCAGGTTCGCTCTCCGAAGCAGGAACCCACAATGGCAAAGGTTGGGCCCCTCGTTTCCCCTCAGCAGATTGAAGGGGGCAGGAGAAACAGAGCTGGGAAGGAAAACGTCTCATTTGGGAATTAAATGACATACAGGAAAAAAAGGAAAACCCTGATTAATTCAAGGTCCCCAAAACAAGACGGCAATGAAAAGCAGTTCGGCTGTGTGGACCCGGTAGTGATGGGATTAGCGGTCATGGCAACTGACTCTGTAGCGAACACTGACACTGGAAATTGCCATAAAGGGGTTAAATCTGAAGAACATGACCGTCCACCATCCTACTTTCTAGCATGCGCTGATTATCTGAGGTGTGCTAACAAAGGGCGGGGGGGTGGGCTGGGGGAAGAGCACTTGCTAATGTGCAGAAGAGAGAGTCTTCAGACAGTTGGCAGGAGGGAGAGAGGACAGGTGTAGTATCCGAGGCAACGGTGTGGAGCAGCGGCATCTTTCACACGTGGGCCGTGAGGCCCACGCTGCATCAGGTCTCAAAGTACTTATATATGGCTGTGACGTAGGTCATCACGCTCTGCCAGTCCGGCCGCTCTGTGCGCACCATCTCGTTGATGTCCTGCAAACCAGAGAGCGCAACCTCATCAGACCAGCACTTGTAAACAGGAATTTCATTCATTAAAAAAATATATGTCTTGTGTATTTAAATTAAACTATTATGTGCATCTGGGAACATAGAATTCAGACTCCATAACTGCATTCAGCATTTAAAAATAAAACATCATATATTTCATAGATTCAAAAAGGAGGTCTGGCTACCCCTTTCAGCACAGAGTCTCAGGTTTCGATAAATACTTGGTGAGGACTGCTGTAGATAAGGCGAAACCCTTATTAAACTCTGCATGCAAACATCAGCACTGACCTGCACGTTTGGGAAGGAACTGAGAAAATACTTGTATTGGCAAAAGCAAGTCACAAGCTGCAGATTTTTGCCACTACAGCAGAGATATTATATTCAAGTATGAAATGATGGCTTTATTGCCACCTCACGCTGCACGAGGTACTCAGACACGCTCTACCCAAAGCACAACATGCTGCTGCCAAAGGAAATCTGAACCATAACATCTGTATTAACACCTCTCACCTGCAAAGATAAACATGTTTTAATTTGAGTTGACTACACACTATAAATACAATACATCCTTCTAGAACAGCAAATATTAACAGTAAAAAATGCTCACAAAGCACTGGTGTAGAAGGGGAGTACTTTTATATTATATTTTATATTAACCTTGGCTGCCACTCCTCAGAGAGACATACAGCTCATTTGACACCTATGTGACAGGACGCCACACCTGCCCAGCCACGCTGACTGAGTGAGAGAGGTCACCGAGTACCTGTTTCTCCCAGCGAGAGGATGCAGTAGCTACAGACCGCTTACTCAGAGTCTCAGAGAGGGAGGTCGGAAAGCAGGAGGTGAGAGAGACACAAAATGGCAAGAAAGCTTTCGTGCCGATCTCAATCCTTGTGAGATCTCAGGTGGAGTTTAAACTAACAACAATGAACTTCCTCAGGAGCAGAGCTCCGTGTACCTACATCACCATGATGCACAGTGTACATTCAGGACCGATTCCAGCATCACCTCCACCTCCCCTCCATGTGACGGGACCAGCCGCTGCTGGTCTATGGTGACGTAAAGCCCGCTGAGCCACGGTATCCTAAGCCCTCACTAAGAAGCCCTCATTAAGCAGCAGCATTAGGGTGTCACATTACTGTTAATAATAACCACCAGGGGCGCTGTCGTCACCTATTTACATGGCTGGTTGTATCACCAAAGCCATTCATGTTAAATTCCATACACATTCGGCTCTTTAAACGCTAAGCTAACATGCAGCTGTGGGCATATTTCTCAGACAGAGTCAATGTTCCTGTTATGAGCAAACAAAGCTGGAAGCTCATGCCATGTTTACCACACAGTGAGGCGGCACAAAACCCAGGTCAGAGCACTCCAGTGGAAAGGGTTTGGGTTACTGCGTGTAATAAGAGGATACGCTGGTGCAGGGGGCTGCAGGAGGCTCCACGGAGGCAGCAGCACGAAACTAAAATTTGCATGAAGTGTCACAGGAAAATGTCAAAATGTTATTAGCAACAAGTACATCGACATCTGACAAAGTGCTTTCGAACATCTGAAGAAGCACAATGCCTCCAGAGAAGATCATCTGAGACAAGGAACCGCCCATCACGGATCACCAGGAAACCAGACTCATAATAATCAAACTCCTTTTCTTTGCGCCACTTGAATCCGATTCTTACCAATGTGGACTTGATCCCCACGCTTTCCGCTGCCTGAAAAGCCAGCATGAAATTTCGCCTCTGAAAAAAAATAAAACCAAATATCTTAATATTGGGCAAACTTAAAACTGCTTATCAAAGGGCTCAGTTAACAGCTACGGTGACAGAAGCTTCCCTAGTCAATAAAAGCTCATTATCATCCCATTTTAGGGGTTTTATGTTGAGAAAGGTAATAAGCTCAAATGAGATATAAAAAAAATAAATAAAAAAAAAAAAAAAAAAACTCATTCTCACACTCACACAGACACACAAAATATACTCAGTGGCCACTTTATTAGATACATTTAGCTACTATTATAAAGCCAAGTGGGTTCAGAGATGATTTTACAGTGTGTTACAGACCTCTTGTTATTCCACTTGCGGACATCCTGTTAGCTTTAGCGAAGCTAACCATTGAGCTCTCTCATTAACAACATCCCCTGACTGGATGCTTTTGCTCATCACATCATTCTCTGTCAATTCTATACACTGTAGCATGTAAAAATCCCAAGACAGTGGCTGGTTCCAAGACACAGGTACATCTGACACCAGCAATCACACCACATCCAGTATCCTACGCACCATAGCCATTGTAATGCTTAGCTGAACAGTAAGTGAACCACGTGAACCTGTTTGCATGCTGTATGTAGTTAGCTGAAGCCCCAGGATTTGAACCACACACAATTAGGACACACAGTTAGTGGAAAGCACTGATTATTTGATTTGATTTTGTTTTGTTTAACTTTAAACAGCACTGAGTTTTCAGCAGACATCTTCCTTCAGAGGAGCTTCCTGTTCCTTTGGTCACAGCAGGTTGGCAGGATTTAGAGGATGGAGGCTACAGATCCAGGGTGAGTCTCTGTGGCTCCTCAGCCACGGGTTCAGTGTGGGGAGAAGGTGGCTGCCGCTTACCTTATCTTGGCTGTTAAGCTCCTGGTACGGGATATGGGCTGGCAGGTAGGTGTGGAGGATAGCACAGAAAGCCAGACCGTCATTCCAGCTGCTGCTGAAGTTGGTGATGTCAATGTTCTGGTGGAGGAAAAGAAAATGGGAGATGGACAAGGGGGAAAGACAACAACACTGAGCACTCAGAGAGGGCATATCATTCACCGTAAGACCAGGTCAATGTTCTCCAATTGTTACACGGGGCCTGCGATGAGTTGATGCCCCATCCTGGGTTGTTCACTGCCTTGCGCCCATAGTCTCTTGGATTGGTTCTGAACCCCCCCTCCCCACAGCCATGAACAAGCGGTTTCAGAAAATGGATGGATGGATATTACACGGGGCCAAATCAAGAAATGCAGTCACTGCTCGCCAAATGTGAAGGCTGTCCCTTTAAGAGCTCTGGAAGATTCCTACATGGCCAGTAAGCTCGTTCATGGCCAGCAAGCTGTTCTGCCAGAGATGGATTAACTAGATCGTGTAGTTGTCTCGCCTCAAACCAAACATGTCCAATTTGATCCAGCTACTCATGCATGAGGTGGAAGAACTTGCTAAGTGATAATTCAATGCCTTCTGATGTCAGGAAACAAAAACCCACCTCACAAACCGCAATTAAAATATAATATGTTTCTTATGTGTCTACAGTCACGGAGGAAGCTATCCTGTTGGGCTTAATCATTTTGCTTATCAAGAGAAATTTTATGATTCAGTGAGTCATCAACTCAGTTAATGCATAGTGAACAATGCCTGATTTGGCTTTCTTAAGGCACCAGTGGAGAAACAGGCTCTTATTTTAGCTGCTGGAACTCTGTGGAGTGTTTGATTAAAACTGGCACATTCTGCATTTATTTTGTTTTAAAAAGATTGACTGCTTAACTCCGATAAGCAATACTTATTACGTTGTAAGAGAATCACCACTGTTATTTCATTTTCAAATCGTCAGTAAAGGATAAATCACATTCCAAAAAGGAAAATCTGTGAGGCCTCTGAGAAACATACTCGAAAAGAAATGTATATTTTTCCAATTACTCAACAAACTGAAACACTCATGTTTTACGTATGAAACCCATCAGCAATGAATGTGCATAACAAATAGCAGATGCAGATGTTCAAATCAGTACACAATTATGACATATCACTCATACTTTTCAAAGACATATTCCTGCATCCCGTTATCCTGCGGCTGGGCATTACTGAACGCGATGCTACCACTGTAATTTCAAAGTAATGAAGCAAATCAGATGCCTCTCCATATTTCCGGGTCACTGCCCAGGTCAAACGCTGGGTACGGGGGCACGTTTGGAAGCTTCAGTGTGAACGAGACTGGGGAGCTCAGCTACGTTTCCTGCCACACACTCCTTCCTCAGAGCCTGGGAAGATTTATCAAGCCCACAGAGCTGTTTCTGCCTGATAATAGGCACCGACTGCACAGACAAGAGTAGGTCCTGTTTTCCCATTTCGTGTTGGCTGACTTGACTCATGGAAGGCTGATAAAGGGTTAGGCGTATGATTCACCTACAGACATTTATCTTAAACTGAATTCTGAGGCAAAAAAGAAGTCAAAGATGAAGTAGACTGAAGATAAGACCAGTATTCACAGCGAAGTAAAGAAAAGATAAGAACATAAGAATATAAGAACTATACAAACGAGAGGAGGCCATTCGGCCCATCGAGCTCGCTTGGGGAGAACTTAACTAATAGCTCAGAGTTGTTAAAATCGTATCTAGCTCTGATTTAAAGGAACCCAAGGATTCAGCTTGCACTACAGTATGTTATCAGGAAGACTATTCCATACTCTGACTACAGGCTGTGTAAAGAAGTGCTTCCTTAAATCCAGATGTAAGGGTTCAAGTCAATCACCCGAGACAGGTAAGCAGCACGAGGTCATGAAGACTGCAAAAAGTATGTAAACACTCAGGGTCCTCAAAGCAGAATATTTTCTGGTAAATATGAACGCCATCTTCGAGCAATATGAACACCCACACTGTCAGAAACCACTTCCCTTCAAATCTGGGACTGACGCCTCTAATAGTGCCGGCTTTACAGTTCTCAGAATCGGGGACCCCAGAACACGTTATAGCCACTCACAGCCTGCCTCCTCTGAGGACGATGAAAACAAAGAGTGGTGAGATATTGAAGCGTTATGTTTTTTTTTCTGCCAGCGGGTGATGAGAAGACCTACAGCAGATCAGCTGTGCAGATTCAGTGGCCCAGATTGCAACTTAGATTTGTGTTACTGGCACCTAGTCATACGTCAAATAGAGACTGAGAAGTTTCCTGATTGGCTGGTAGGTTTGTCAGCTTGGTGTGGGTGATCTTCCAAGGGGGGTACCTTCAGAAAAACCTTGAGAGTCTCCAGACAAACCTTGAGGCTGTTGAATGTCCACTGGTTTCATGGCATTGACACTGTCAGAGATAAACATTAGCTTTTGTAGGCGAAAGTTAAAATCAGAGGTGAGGTGACCATTTGAATTAACAGGGTATATCCCGCTGCTAACCCAACATCCTCTGCATCCCTGGCAACATCCATTTACATACCAGCAATCGCCGTTGCCCTGGTAATGCTACCTGGGGCCTATCAGGCTTACAAACCAAGATTGATCCTGCTGGGGCAGATTCGGGGGGGGGGGAATTAAACTATAACTTCATACATCAGGTAGAAGAGGCTGGGTCAGCACAAGTGAGCAAATTGGGGAAGAGGGAATGAATAACGGGGGTGGGAAGGGGAAAATAAAGAACAAACACGAAACTATACCTTCAGCCTTCAAGTTCAGACAGCCATTACTCTGAAACAGACTTACCCATTTGCCTTAAATACACATCGTAATGGGGGCACAATGGGGAAATAATCATCTCACCCACCCCACCCCCCCAGAATGTGACGCCCTTCCTTCGCCACACCCTTGGCAGCCTGACTGCTGACTGTCCTCTCCGGAAAGCACAGTGAACCAGGCAGACCTTATTAATCATGGCCTTTTCACCGGCACACGGCAGGCTGCAGAGAGCTGTTAAGCTGTTAGAGGTCAGGCTGGTTAAGACTGCAGTGGCCCTGGGCAGCAGCGACTCCGTTTGCCACAGATGGAGGACTGTGACCGGGGAACTCAGTCACCAAAGTCTAATCGCATTTACAGCCACTCAGCTGTATAATTATCATCACCACCATCAAAGATCATTCACTGCTCAGCAGATGCTTTTATCCAAAGTGACTTTTTCATCAATGATTTTTACAGACATAATAAGCAGAACCTGCTATTGAGGTGATTCAGGTTAAGTACCCTGCTCAAGGCTGTTAAAAGCAGGGCATCAGGTCAGGAAGTAAATTCTTCTGATTACAAGCCTATGCTCACCCCTGCCCTCTGCTATGACAAATTCATCATCCTGTCACAACAGTAGGACTACAGGTGTAGGTCATGTCTCCATGGCAACACAGCCAAGAAAGCACAGAGGAGTGCATGGGCTGTGGGCTCCGTCCATGTGTCAGGGGCAGCACTATTAAGTTTGTGTGGTTTTATTAATTTTTTATATCTAGTTTTTCATGTGAGGACAAGAAATGCCAAAGCAGGGGGCTCTTAATTTAATGTTACGGACCGTCTAAGACACTGCGGTCTCGATGACAGACATATAGGCTGCAGAGATCAGACAAATAGCGACGCGTGCTGTGATATAGGTGGAGTTCGGGGAGATGACTGGAACAGAGCACAGATCCCTCCTACTTCAACAACCACCACTTCAAACTACCTAACTAAAAATCCACTTATGTCCAAAGCCATTGCTCAGGCCCTGGTTCCTGAGAACCTGCCCACAGAGCCCAATCTGTGTACCACCTGCCTGGCCCACTGCAGATCAGAGTGATGCTGCTGACCAGGGAGTCCAAGCGAGCAAACCGGTACGTTACAGAAGTGGGTCTCCAAGCAACAGCCATCAATGGCAAATTATAAAATTCATTGATAAGACAACTTATCCTTTAAAAAGACTCAGCATCTGAACACTCTGCAGAAAGGAAAGGAAAAAAAACAAGTAAAAAAACCCCACAGGATTCACAGGGACAAAGAGAGAACTCCCTAGGGTGAGAACAAATTAACTACATTTTAATGAATCAAATCAATTCAGACAAGGCAAAATTTTGCATCAGACTCAGGAGAAATGTACTGGGATGTGAACAATGTGGGCTGAACCATTGTAATCGCAAAGAGGTATTCAAATGCACGAGTGTGAAACCCCAAAGTGAGACCTGTGAGGAAATGCGGGAAATGCAGACGTGGAGTTATTAACATGGGGAAGGGGCGTTCCAGGGAAGAGGGGGAACGTGACAAACACCACGACAACTTCAAGGACATGATTTTTGATGTAGGTCCTTCAGCTGCCAGCTACATGAGTGCATCCCTCCAAATGAGACTGACATGGAAGATACCCCCAGGGTGGGGAGGGAATGAAGAAGCCCCACCTCTCAGCATTTCCAACCCCGGGGCCATAGACAGCTGCCCAACAGGACTCTTTCACGTTTAAAGCACGGAGCTCTGGGTCTGCTTCACGTTCACTCGTCTCTCCAACCAGCCAGTGTACAACACACCTACATCTGCATTGACAGTACAGGTAGGAGGGTAGAGGGCAGCCATTTCTGTGTGTTTCACCCTGATTGGATTGGATTTCTGACACTTCCAGCATTTGTTTAACACAAACCATTCCATAACTAAACCACTACAGCATACACTGCAAACCTAATGGTGACCTAATATGGGAAACGATGACATTCCACAGAAATTAGGAACCATATATATGTCTAGCACATCAGACGGCGAATTAGCCAACTCTCCCCTGTACAAATACGCACTTCCTCAAACCATGGCAGTAAAAAGAAATGGGGAGGACAGGGAATTTTTGGTACAATTCTAATACAAATGAGTGTGTGGCTCAGGTGAAGAGGCTAGCTTTTAGCATTACACGTGCTAATGGGATCCATATGGTTCAGAGCGTGCCTGTGTGTACAACACCCCCAGGATCGTAGGCACACAGAGGCAGCAGACAATGTCCAATTACTATGGAGAAGGAAAAAAACGTGGGGGCAGGGGAGGGGAGGCGCCAGAACAGGTCCTGGCTGGAATTCAGTAACATTGAATGCTTCCCTTCTGGAACAGCATCCATACAAATGGCCATCAGCAAGCAGCTGAGGGTAAGGTCAGAATGTGAAGCAAGGAAGAAAGCTTTGTCACTTCTCACAGGGTGCCCCCCCCCATAAAAAATAAAATAAAATATATATTAGAGAGGACTGTTTGCATGAGCCCACGCAAAGCCTTCCAAATGACCAAGCATATGCTGAAAACAGCTGGCAGATAAGAGCGTGACCTTCCCTGAATAAGCTAGCATATGGCAGCTGGCGAAAGGCCTTATAAACTAAGCATGGCCCATTACTATTCATTATATATGTGTGTGTGTGTGTGTGTGTGTGTGTGTGTGTGTGTGTGTATTATACTTATATATACATATTTCAACTATATGGCCACAATACAGCATCAGGCTATCACCAGACCCCAGAAAAGCCCTCAAGGCCCTCATCCTCTAAACAGCAGAGAGAATCTAAACCAAGCCAGACAATAAGTGCCCCGTCACTGTGCATCTGCTGGGTATGAACTGGATTCATATTGGCTCACGTGACAACATTACTGCTTCAACTGCTCAAAAGCCCACTGTCCATGGTCTTCACTGCATTTTCCATGCAAAGGTGCAATTTATGAGCTGGATCATAGTGTCCCATTTGTCTTTTTTATTGAAGTGATTGTATACAGATTTTGGCTCAAGTCTATCTCTGGGACTTGATCCAGGAGTCCCAAACCAATCTTCTACAGGATGCATGGGATTCCTCACCCCCTAAACACGACCTGTACCTGATATCCTTCAGTCTTCTTCTGGCACCATTTGAGTAGAGCGTTCCTCTTCGAGCCGCCATATTCCCGTGCCAGCGCCGACAGAGGGTCCTTGCGTTCCTCCCTAGGGGTGGAAAGGGGACACAGGAACCAGTCATCAGGTAAGATGGCCTGTGGATGTAGGGGCAGGGGGACCTAAAGCAAAAGACTCAAGTCAGGAGCCTAAGGAAACCACGGAGTAAGGAATAAAAAACAATGGGACGCTGAAGATGAGAGCTGTTCATGCCATATAAGAGGATGCTCACTGCACGTATCTTTAGGAGATACTGGGATTCTGTTATTCAGGACTGACAGAGGAAGGACGTGGCATTCAGTGGGAAGCAGACCTAAATCACACATTTGCAGCATTGTCATCCAGACAAAGGAAGAAAACCGTAAAAAAGGGAGATGGAGCCCTGGCCCCTTAGCCTTTCCTGACAGGGGACAGGAAGACATTACCGGCACCCCCTTAAACTACACCCGCACGGCACTGCGTCAGCCGTGGTTTGAACAGATAAACTGTTGAGAAGGGATGAGCATGGGGGCGCAGAAACAGACAGATACGCATGCTCACACGTGCAGCAGCACCCCCCCCCCCCCCCTCCCCCCCCCCACCAACAAGCATCAGCGTGGATAATTCTGGAATGTGTGGGGTCCTGGCCTGTTCAGTCCAGCGGTACATTCCGGAGCTCGATGGCTCCCTGAGGTCGACACGGACTCCATGTCACTGACCCGCTTTCCTCTTTCCCACTAATGACGCCGGACCTCATTCTAAAGCCCCCTCCCTTCTGTTCCTCTCTCACTGTGCTGACTTTCCGAAATGGAAACAAAAACAAGTTAAAGGACAACAAGAAAAAAAATGTATAGGACGCATTACAACCTCTCCAGGCAGGGTTAATCAACCATTAACGAGCAGGCGTGCTAATTACTGACAGGCTCAAACGGCTACTGTCATAGGGTCATCCAAAATGGCTAGTTTGGAGAGAAGGAATCATGCAATAAAAGTACATACACTCTTAAGAAAGTGTGGCCTAATAACTAGAAATCACCCCCTAAATCTGCATGCAAGCGCCTGGTGCACTCCAGCTAGCTGACTGATCAGTGTACAAACGAACATAACTGATAACAAAGTCACAAGACTTTCACTGACCTCTTAAAAAAGGCTATACTGGCTGCTTTGGTTTGGGTCAAAGTATAAAGTCCACACACAAAACAGCTGGAATACAAGGCTTGAAAACAGGTGAAGAGATGGAACAGGCAAGATACTTAAAAAGAGTAAACAAGATGACACAGTGACCGAACCAGTCAACTGATGACAGTCATACAAAGATGGTTTTGCTAGGTCTACATCCTGTGGCGTTTATATGACCGTTCCATTACAATAATCATCTTTTTAAATTAATACTGAGCATAGCTGATCACTGCTGTGATTATACTTTTTCACAATTGTATTTCATGAGACCCTCCCATCTAGGGTATCTGTTGTCCTGCCTTGTGCCACCAACAGGTCCTGTGATAGGCTGCCGGCCCTCTG